AGAGAGAGAGAGGCGCAGAGACACAGGCAGAGGGAGAAGCAGGCTCCATGCACCGGGAGCCCGATGTGGGATTCGATCCCGGGTCTCCAGGATCGCGCCCTGGGCCAAAGGCAGGCGCCAAACCGCTGCGCCACCCAGGGATCCCAAGTGTTGTGATTTAGAGAGCAGAGTTGTGACTACCTGGGTTAAATTCAGATTCTGGTACTTCATAGATTGCTAATCTTGGACACATTACTTAACGTCCTTTTTCCTCAGTTTCTTCATTTGTAAAATGAAAATAATAATAGCATTTACTTCATAAAGTCACTCTGGGAATTAAATTAGTTGATATGTGAAAGCACTTGCAACAGTGCCAGGCACAGGGTAAGTATTCAATAGCGCTATTATTATTGTCATTGTACTTCTGTGTCATTTGAATATTATAAGATGTGGGCATAATGTATTTTCTTTGAAAAAGCTGAGAGGAAGGAGCCAGTAGAGAGAAAGAGGTTGAATATATAGGAAAGAGGTAATAATAGATTGAGTAAAGTTATTGAGAACCCATATTTAAATGAGATCTGGAACACAGACAGAAGAATTAGCCTGGATTGGACCAGGTATATCTCTCGTTTTAACAGTAGAAGGATGGCTGTGAACATACTCCTAGTTTGGTAGTTGTAGGTAATAGGAAATTGGTTTTCCATGTGGAGACTCTGTCTTCTTTTTTTAATTTCTTTCTTTCTTTTCTTTTTTTTTAGAGAGAGAGGAGAGAGAGAGAGAGAGAGAATCTCAAGCAGACTCCATGCTGGGTTTGAAGCCTGATGCGGGGCTCAATCTCACGACCATTGAGATCATGACCTGAGTCAATTTTTTTTTTTACCTGAGTCAAAATTACGACGCTTAACCAACTGAGCCACCCAGGCACCTCAAGACTACTTTCTTTAAGGGATGAGTTATTTGGTAAGATTGCAGGGGCTGCTGAGGAATCAGAGTTTTGAGAATGGAGAAACTTTGAAATAATCATTGGAGAGAATAAGAGAGTGGGCTGAAAGCAGGAAAGGATTCCCCAGGAATACTGCTAGTCCACTTGTGGTTGGCAACCACAAATTCAGTGTGGTGCCAATTTATTCAACTATGTGCTTTTTCTCTTGCAGTGTTGAATAACTCTAAGGTGGAGAGGAAAGACTGTGAACCGATGCCAGGATCTTCAGTGAATGAGTAAAGGTGTCAAAGTGTAACCAAATAGTATGAAACTTAGAGGAAGAATCAGGGTTTTTCATCTGAGGGTAAAGGAAGAATTATCCGGAGGTTGTAATGTGGATGGAAAAGGATGCCTGTCTTACCTCCTGACTCTTTGGTACATGCATGTGTTGGTATAAGTCATTTTCACTTGAAAGAGCTGCTAGGGAAGTTCTATCCTCATGGAAAATCCATGAATATTCAGGGATGAGCTGGAGGATGGTAGGAGAGTTTGTTAATCACGGAATAGTGTTCTAGAAGCCACAGCAGAAACACCTGGAAGTTAAGGTACAAGTGAAAGGTCAGGTGGGGGGAGAAGAAACACAGGGAAACATGGGGAAAGCAGTAACAATATAGTAATTAATAGTAACAAAAATAGGGGTGCCTGGCTGGCTCAGTCAGTAGAGCATGCAACTCTTAGTCTCAAGGTCGTGAGTTCAAGAAACACATTGGGGGTAGAACTTACTTAAAAAAAATAACAATGCTTTGCATGAATTATCTCATTTAATCCTCATAGAAACCTCATAAAATAGAGCCTTTATCCTATAGATGAGAAGACAAGTACAGAGTTCCAGTCACTTGTCCAAGATTACATAGTAAATAAGTTGGATTGGGTGCTTACATGTTGTCCAGGGACAGAGGAAAACAAAGAGGTGAATGAGCATGTGAGTTTGACTTATCACAAGTTTGGCAGGATGGTTAGTCCTAACAGTCTTCTCCTACATAGAAGGCTGTTAGCTCTCTCCAGATTTACCTGTATTTGGCACTGGAGGCGGGAGCTGCTGTTTTGTTGGTGTTCCTTATATTGCTCAGTATTGAAGGATTCAGACATCAGTGGGCCCAGTGCATTTTCTCACCTGTGCTCTGCAGAGTGATTTGTGGTGGGGGTAGTGGTGTGATTCTTAAGTAAGCTGTGCCCTTGTAGGGTTATAAAGCCAGGCTGCAGAGGGCTCTAAGGTGTAAGGCTGAGAGGCAGTTTGTGGGAGAAGTGAACTTAATGGAAGACATCACAGGCTGTAGATTCTGAGAGATGTGAGCCCCAGCGGGGGTCTGGCAGTGGCCCAATTCTTTCTCGCAGTAAAAGCAGTTCCTCCAGTGTTCAAAGCTGTGGCCTAGCTCCTAAAGAAATGTCTCTTTACTGGGTGCTCAAGGGTTTTGGTGCCATGCTTGTTGCTCAAGGAAGCTTATGAAGAGGAAAAAGTAGTCTTACTGCACGTTTCCCTGGGCAGCATTTTAGAGCCTTGTGTCAAGATGACCCTGAAAAATCCTTTCCAAAGTTTAAGAAGGCAAATACATTTGCTAAACACTTAATGTGTACTATAGCTAGGTTATTTATTTTATAAAAATGTATGATAGACTTGGGTTTTCTGTGTGCTATGTTGCACGTACATTAAAGAACCATGTAAGTTGCACAGAACACTTATGCTCAAATGACAGTACAGAGAGCATATATGTTCAAAACATAAAGGGCCTTCATAACTACTTATTGCATGAATAAATGAAGTTCATTATTTTACTTTTTAAAAAAGATTTATTTATTTATTTATTTTAGAGAGAGAGCGAGAGAGAGAGAGAGAGAGCGCACAAGCAGGAGGGGCAGAGGGAGAAAGAATCTTCAAGCAGACTCCATGCTGAATGCAGAGCCCAAGGCGAGGCTCAATCCCACCACCCCAAGTTCATGACCTGAGCCAAAACCAAGAGTCAGGCACTTAAGCAACCATGCCACCCAGGTGCCCCATTATTTTAATTTTTTCATGATTTTTAATTTTTGAAGGGGTTTAGTTTGAGGTAGTTCTTCTTTTATGACATATTTTTTGTTATAGCAATAATTTGTTTGAAGATGAGTCCTTTGTCAGGAGCAAACCCCCAATTATAATCTTGGAAAAACAAAATCCACCTTATGATGATACCATTTACAACACAAAACCAGAAACACATTGCAGTGACACATAAGCAGTTGGGCCCTGCTTATGTATCTGTGTAGGTTGGGTATGAATGAAGGTATTCATGGACACATGCAGAACTAAATACCTCATTAATACTAATGACCTAATTTGGCATTTGTCACAATTCAGATTCAGTTTCTGTGATTATCAGAATGTATGAAAGTAGACTAAAATATGTATGTACATGTTGCTATATATCAATTCCCATGCATATGAGATTTGTCATAATTTGGACAGAGTATGCATGATTTTATAGAATTAAAAGCCAACTATTTTTTCTAGCACTGTAAATATTCGACTTTTTAATAAGTCTAAAATTAGTAGGTTTGTCAAGTAGCTCAAGAAAGTAGAAATTCCATCTAAGTATTATTAATTTTGGGGTCTATCAAGTTAAATTTTATTTACTAGTGGAATATATAGTTACTGCTATGTTGTTATCATGTATAGATTCAATGGGATCTTTTTTCCACTCATCTCAAACTACTTAATAACAGTTTTTTTGCTGTTATAATGCATTTATTGTTACATGGCAGGCTCCCAGGTGAGGAAAGCTGTTTGGCAAGAAGCCTAACAATGTAGCACCAACCACAGCTTGGGGTCTGGGCTTCAGTTTTGCATGTTCATAAACTCAATATTCTAAACATCACAGAGTTGATTGATGCTGGGAATGTAGATTCATGCTAAGGACATTTACAAGAGACTGATGTATAAATCAGAATGACAATTTATTAATTTATAGAGACAAACAATTGTTCATGAGGATTTGAATTGAAAATGGTGAATTCTTGTCAGGGAGATCTTCACGGGAGGCCAAATTATAATCAGAAGATTGTTCCTACCATAGAATCAAGGTAAGGTGAGTTAGTTGTGCAATTCAAATACATAATAGCATTTGTTACGATTTAACAATATAGACTATTTGCTCCTTGGAGAGACTGGTGTGTTTTATAGGTGAGTGTTCATCCCCTCCAATGCCTGGGTGGTGCCTGTTTAGTTAGGTTTTGTGTTTTTCTACGGTTTCCTTGCTGATCAAAATTTGGATTCACTCTTTTTAAAATTATACTAGTAAAAGGTGTTTCTTTAACTGTTATCTCTTCAATCAGATTAGTCTTGTGTTGCTTGCCTAGAGGCCATTCTATCGTCAGGGAAATTACTTCCCTTGAGTTACAGCCCAATTTATAGGTATGGTGGTGAGGCAGGGGACAGCAACCTAGCGGATAATTCTATGGGGGCACCTCACTGTGACCGGTGAATGTGGTTACCAGATTAAAATACCGGACGCCCAATTACATTCAGAGAACATGGAAATTTATTTTTAAATTTTTTTTTTTATGATAGTCAGAGAGAGAGAGGCAGAGACACAGGCAGAGGGAGAAGCAGGCTCCATGCACCGGGAGCCCGACGTGGAACTCGATCCCGGGTCTCCAGGATCGCGCCCTGGGCCAAAGGCAGGCGCCAAACCGCTGTGCCACCCAGGGATCCCGAGAACATGGAAATTTAAAAAAAATACAAGTATGTCTCAAATATTGCACGAGGTGTAGTCACACTAAAAAAATTCATTGCTTATCTGAAATTCAAAGTTAACTGGATGTCCTGTATTTTTGCTTGCTAAACCTGGCAAGCCCACGAATACATTAATAAGATGCTATGAGGCTTGCCTGGGTTCACAGTGGTCGGTAAGCACCGATCCATTTGGTTGTCTCAGGACACAAAAATCGTTCCTACCGAAAGACTGCTTAAGTCAAAAAGCAGATAGCAACCAAACACGGAATAATCTTGACCCTTTGAAGAACCCGTAACTGACGCAACTGCCATATGATCGACTACCCCACCCCCTTCATTCTTCTCTTCCTGCAACTAGAATGATTGTTCTATCTCTTCTCCTTCTCTAGTCCCGCCCTGCCAGCTCTCCTCTCCGGAGGGGACTCGGTAGCCCGAAAAGGGCCGACAAAAGCGCCGACGTGTTCAGAGGAGCGGAAGTACTCAAATTTCACCGAGAACCGTAAAGTGCGGCTGGCTGGCTTCCTTTCCGGATAACGACACAGCTCCGACTGTCAGTGCCGGCCTTCCTCGTGTTAGAGACCTGCTGGCCCCTTACTAATTCAGTTTTTTCCCCATCCGAGCCCTTCCCTATCGTCGCCCCCTTCACTTTGGATCATGTTCAAGAAGTAAGGACATGCTGTGGCCTCAATCGGCTGCTCACAAAGGGGGTGGGGGTGGGGGTGGGGCAGAGGGCGAGAGCAAAGATCTGCTTTCTCTCTCCCCCGCCCCTACCATCCTGTCTCCCTAAGGTTTTCTGTAGTACTGTGCTCTCACTCGCAGCTTGCAACACTGTAACCTTTCTATCCCTAATCTTCAATCGGGTTTTGATCCTCCCACCCTCATTTTTTTTCCTTATTTCTTTCTTTTTTTGCCCCCTCTCCCAATCCTATCCCTGTTCCTAGGGTTCTACCAATCACATCCTTGCACTGTGATTTAAGGGTCTATCCTCTTTAGCTGAGAGGAGAGCCCTGCACTCACTGCCATATGTTTATTAGTTATGAACTGAATAAGGGAAGGCTTGACTTCCTGGGTCATGAGAGTGAAGGAGTCTGGGTGACAGGAAGCAAGCGGCCTGTCCTGCCTATTGCCTAGCTGCCAGATTAACCTTGTCTTGAAAATAGCGTGATTGCCCCGTAGGCTATTTAGTGTAAGGAAGACAAAAATTCTTTGAGAACCTACCTGGTGGGTTTACCTTCCAGACTTGGTAGACGCAAAAAGCAAAGGGGGAACATGGGCAAAGGAAGGTGGGTTTTGCGCATGACATTTTGAACAAAAATAAATAGGGATCTTAGAAAACATTGTCATCATCACTTTAAAAAAAATCTCAGCAGATTTCATAGCCTAGAAGGGCCAATTTTCTGTGTTATATTTGGGTTGGTGTTTTTGTGTCTCAGCGCCTGAGAGTTTTTTGTTCTGTTTTACTCTTGTTTTTTTTTCACACAGGTTTTGTTATAGGTGGGAATCTGTTTCTTCTGGGTAGAATTGAGTAGGGTTTTCCAGGAAAGCTATTTGTGTAGCTATTTGCAGATTATAATGTGAAATATACTTCATATCCTCCCCCTGCCCTCCCCCCATTGTGTATACATGGCAGTTTTAATACTGTATTAAGACACTGATTTTGTGCTGGATAGAATTTAAAGGGAAATGGTATTTTAAAAGAATTTATTTCATAGTTATTTTAGACATCCAAATACTTGGGAATAGATGACTAATTAAAACAATACCTCTAGGTATTTTGTTACGTCTGCTAAGAAATGCCTTTTTTTCTTGCAAAAATCATTTGACAGATTTGATGAAAAAGAAAATGTGTCCAACTGCATCCAGTTGAAAACCTCAGTTATAAAAGGTATTAAGAACCAATTGATAGAACAATTTCCAGGTATTGAACCATGGCTTAATCAAATCATGCCTAAGAAAGATCCTGTCAAAATAGTGCGATGGTAAGTCTTTATTTTTCTCTATGTAAAGCTCAGAGTAACTGAATATTGTATGATTAGATTGCACTCATAATAAATGGAATTATTTTCACATTAACCATCGGTAGATTAATTATAGGAGTAGATAAATAGAATAACTCTAAAACATCAATATTTGTATTTTCAAGTTTCTCTGTGTTCCTGAAAAATATGGCTTTGTGTGCTGATTGTTTTATCAAAGAGTTAAGTGTTTTTATTCAGACTTTATTTCATATTGTTCTGTAGATATTTGTTTTATTGAATTATCTAACAATGAAATTAAAATAATAAAATGTGAAATAAAATTGACATTTTTTTTTCTCTACTAGATGGGTATGATAGGTGAAACAATTTAAACAATTTTTTTGCCTGGATATTTAAATTAAAGAGGTTACTGTATCTTTGTATATGTATGTTTCATATTTTTTGTTATTTAAAGGATGTTTGGCATATTCATTTTTGAAAGAAAATATCTAACTTGCTACTTTATGACATTTGTCTTACAGCCATGAACATATAGAAATCCTTACAGTAAATGGAGAATTACTATTTTTTAGACAAAGAGAAGGGCCTTTTTATCCAACCCTAAGGTTACTTCACAAATGTAAGTCTTGTTGGAAAATATTTATTTGGGGATATGGAAAGATATAAAAAGAGTTTTTAAAGTGATTTCTGGTAGTTAACTTACTAATACTAGGTGATATGGAATATAAAACTAAAATGAATTCCCATCTTGTGGTAAATCTTAAGATCGCAAATTCTCTCATTATGCATTCCAGAAAGGCTAAGAAAGAACATTCATTCATTCATTCATTCAGCAAATATTTGTTGAACTTACTATGTGTCAGGCACTGAGCTAGGTATTGAGAATATGATGAGAAACAAAGGCAGACATTGTTCCTGTCCCTATGAAGCTAACAGTCTAGTTGGAAGAATAGACAATTAGACAATTACACGAATATATATTCACAAACTGTGATAAGTGCTGTAAGTACTTCCTTCTTTTAAATTTATATCTAGATTTGCCTCATAGAGATAACACTGTATAAGGGAAAGCATTGGCTAATTGTGGGAGTCCCAGTTATTGTTAGTTGAATGCCAAGGTCAGGTGTTATAAAACAAAATAATGTTTCTTACATACCTACATTTGTGTGTTGTTATATTGAGTACATTACAAAAGAAAGTCCAAAGGAGATATAATCCTCATGCACAAGAGGTTTTCAACTGAGAAGTTAAAATTTCTGCTTCTCAAAAAAAAAAAAGTTTCTGCTTCTCAAACCAGTATATTTCTGACATTCTAGCTAAGGGGCAGAAAGGGAGTGACTGGTGGGCTCTGTAGGTAGTAGTGGTGACTTAATGGGTTTGGCTTTTGGTAAGAAGAGATCAATTTTGAGTTACCTAGTGGAGCCAGAGGTCTAGAGCAGTAATGAAAAGATTTGGTGATAGTAAGACATTTTGATGACGTGAATTCCTGCTCAACTAAAACAGGAGAAAGACAAAATACTTGAATGTATTGCATGAAACTAGATTGGATACTGGTTTGAAAAACAAAATTGAAGGGCAGCCTGGGTGGCTCAGTGGTTTAGTGCAGCCTTTGGCCCAGGGCATGATCCTGGAGTCCCACGTTGGGCTCCCTGCATGGGGGCTGCTTCTCCCTCTGCCTGTGTCTCTGCCTCTCTATCTCTGTGTGTCTCTCATGAATAAATAAATACAATTTTTTTAAAAAAAGAAAGAAAAACAAAATTCAAGCCCTCCTCCTCTGCCTCAAAAGATATAAAACACTTTCTTAGACTCTTGGGGGGGGAATTTGAATATGCTTTGGCTATAAGAGGATATTGTGGAACTATTGTTAATTTTTAGGTATGGTGACAGTATTGTGGTTATGTAGGAGAATGACTATTTTTAGGTGATGTACTTATGGTGAAGCGTTATATCTGAAATTTCAAATGGTGAAAGACAAAAAATGTGTGTGTATAAATAGAGATAAAGGAGGTAGAGCAAAAGGGGTAATAGTTATTCGATCTAAGTGGATGTTGTCCAAGTGTTCATTGAACTATTCTATGGTTTTCCTGTATGTTAAGCCTTTGCATAATAAGTTGGAAGAGAAAGATGTTCCTATTTAATAATAATTTGCTCAGAACCAACCTTTTAGAACATTGTGAAGTTATTGATATGTAGGAAGCAGGGTAATATGGTGGTAAAAGCATATTTGGAGTTAGGTACACCTGAGTTTGATTCCCAGTGCGTGTCACTTTTGTGAAGTCACTTAAACAGGTCAAGTCACTTAACTTGTTTAAGCTTGATTTCCTTGTCTTTAAAAATGGATATATTAGGGCAGCCCCGGTGGCCCAGCGGTTAAGCACTGCTTTCAGCTGGGGGTGTGATCCTGGAGACCTGGGATCGAGTCCCACATCGGGCTCCCTGCATGGAGCCTGCTTCTCCCTCTGCCTGTGTCTCTGCCTCTCTCTGTGTGTGTCTGTCATAAATAAATAAAATCTTAAAAAAAAAAAAGGATATATTGGACAGCCCGGGTGGCTCAGCGGTTTAGCACCGCCTTCAGCCCAGGGCATGATCCTGGAGTCCTGGGATCGAGTCCCAGGTCGAGAGCTCCCTGCATGGAGCCTGCTTCTCCCTCTGCCTGTGTCTCTGCGCCTCTCTCTCTCTCTCTCTCTCTCTCTCTCTCTCTCTCTCTTTCTGTGTCTCTCATGAATAAATAAGTAAAATCTTAAAAAAAATGGATATATTGTCCCTGTAGGAGTCTCTGTGGTGGAATCTGTTTGAAATCCTCTCTGTTTCCTTCTCCCCTCCCCTGTGTACACACATGTGCGCGCTCTCTCTCTCAAATAAATAAATAAATAAATAAATAAATAAATAAAATCTTTAAGAAAAGGGGTATATTGTATATTATATCTCCCAGAGTTGTGAGGATTAAATGAGACTGTGCATATAATGCATCTAATGTGCTGCTTGGAACACAGTAATGGCTCAATATATGATAGCCATTGTAATGATGTAGTAATTGTTCAATAAATGTCCACTATTACTATATATTATTATCATCATGATCAGGATCATCATCATTATTATTATTAAAGGACACTTATTAATGAGGATGGAGAACTAGAAAACAAATTATGTATGAATGCATTCATTCAGGTTCCTTTGTTTTCAATAAGATGTTTAATTTGGAGCCATGTTTAAATTAATTTGTAATCTTGGTAGGAAGAAGACTAACTTATTCTCTGACTAGTGGGAGAGCTAGTAGTAAGACATTAAAGTGAATAAATTTTACCAATTATTAATATTCCTAGAAAGCCCTGAGAGGTCTAAAAAGTCTCCACCCCAGTCATTGTTTTGAATCCTTCAGGGATCCTTTAATTCTTAGATTATGAACTATTAGTACACACACACACACACACACACATTTTTGAGATTATGGAAGGAATTCATGTTCATTCTAGAGGGTTGGAAAATACAGAAATAAAATCATCTGTATTTCTATGACCTGGAGATAACCATGGATAGTATATTAACGTATTTCTATCCAATTATTTCCTGTATAGTGTGTGTGTGTGTGTGTGTGTGTGTGTGTAAATGCATATATTTTTGTTTTTTAATTTTTTTTAGATTTTTGGTAAAGATTTTATTTATTCATGAGAGAGACATAGGCAGAGGGAGAAGCAGGCTCCCTATGGTGAGCCCGATGTGGGACTCCATCCCAGGACCCTGGGATCACGACCTGAGCCAGAAGTAGGCACTCAACTACTGAGCCACACAGGCATCCCCATTTTTCTTTTTTAAATTGGGCTCTCTGTTAAATAGTTTTTAATTGGGATCCCTGGGTGGCGCAGTGGTTTGATGCCAGCCTTTGGCCCAGGGCGCGATCCTGGAGACCCAGGATCGAATCCCACATCGGGCTCCCGGTGCATGGAGCCTGCTTCTCCCTCTGCCTATGTCTCTGCCTCTCTCTCTCTCTCTCTCTCTCTCTGTGTGTGTGTGTGACTATCATAAATAAATAAAAATTTAAAAAAAAGTTAAAAAAATAAATAGTTTTTAATTAATAGACTTTATTTTTTTTTAGGACAGTTGTAGGTTTACAGGAAAATGGAGCAGTGTAGAGTTCCCATGTACTTCCTACCGCCTTCCCTTGTTATTAACACCTTACATTGATGCATTTGTTATGATTGATGAACCAATATTCATACAGTATTATTAACCAAAGTCCAGTTTACATTAGGGTTCATTCTTTGCATTGTACATTCTGTGGGTTTTGCCAAATGCAAGTCATGTATCCACTGTTATAATATCACTATGTACTATCATAGTATCAAAATAATTTCACTGCCCTAAACATCCTCTGTTCCACCTCTTTGTCCCTTCCTCTTCCTCCTCCCTTTCCCCTCAACCCCTAGTACCCACTGATCTCTTTGGTACTTTTTTTATTGTTTATTTCTCTTAACTTTATATTATGAACATTTATCAGGGTATTTTGTAGTCTCCAAAAATATGGCTCATATATATATATATATATATATATATATATTATAGATATACCTTAAGTCATATTATAGGTATACCTTAAGTCATATACCTCTTTATTGTTGGACATTTAGGTTGATTCCAATTTATTTCTGTTATAAATAGTAGTGCTGCAATGAATATATTTCTACCTAAATATATTATATATCTTTAATTTTTTCTTAGGATGAAGCTGTAGAAATAGAAATACTGGGTCAAAGAATTTGAACCTTTTCAAGGCTGTTGATACATGTTGCGATGTAGTCCTAAAGGGAGGTTGTACCCAATTTTAAGCCTTCTAGCAGTGTATAAGAATGCCAGTTTTCCTACACTCTTGCTAGCAGTGGGAATTACTTTTGTTAAAAATATTTACCAATTTGATAAGTGAAGGATGGTGTTTCAGTTTTCTTTTGCATCTGTCAGAATAGTGTAGTTTGGAGAAATATTTGTTCATGTCCTTTGCCTTTTTCTGTGGAGGCATTAGTCTCATTAATTTATGTCATGTATTTCTTTTCTTCTAGATCCTTTTATCCTGCCACACCAGCAAGTTGATAAAGGAGCCATCAAATTTGTACTCAGTGGAGCAAATATCATGTGTCCAGGCTTAACTTCTCCTGGAGCTAAACTTTACCCTGCTGCAGTAGATACAATTGTTGTATCCTTCCCAAGGCTATAACTGCTGAAAAATGTATTCAAAGTATTTCTGTCATTACTGAAAGATCTATTGTCCAAGAGAAGACTAGATGTACTTTTTTTGGAGGTTACTGTTACTGTTGTCTCATGCCTTTCTGGTTACATTTCAAGGTGTGGGAAATAACATCATTTCTTGAGACTAAATTGTGTCCCATCTTAGAAGCTAAATAGGAACAACTAAAAGAGTTCTGGCTGCATTTCAGCCCAGTTACGGCCTAGTGTGATCTGACTCAGGACACAGTATAAAACTTGATTATTAATGGAGAGGATATATATGATATGATTGGATCACTTCTTTGGACATCAGCTTGCTATTTTTACCTTTGGCTTACCCATATACACTGGAGTAAAAGCACTCAAAGGGGAAAGAGCTTTGGTACTAGGTAGAGTTTAGAAGTGGTTAGAGGGAAATAAGGACAAATCCCAACTTTTATTTGATTTTTAAATTTTTATTTATTTTTTGAACTTTTAAAAAAGATTTTATTGATTCATGAGAGACACAGAGAGAAAGAGGCAGAAATATAGGCAGAGGGAGAAGCAGGCTCCCTAGGGAGCCTGAATCGGGACTCGATCCCAGAACCTTGGGATCATGACCTGAGCCAAAGGCAGATGATTAACCACTGAGCCAGCCACCCAGGTGCCCATTCTCAACTTTTATTTAATTAATTAATTTTTACAAATATTTATTTATTCATGAGAGACACCAAGAGAGGCAGAGACACAGGCAGAGGGAGAAGCAGGCTCCATGCAGGGAGCCTGATGCAGGACTCAATCCCAGGGCTCCGGGATCATGATGTGAGCCAAAGGCAGATGCCCACCTGCTAAGCTTCCCAGGCGTCCTTCAACTTTCATTTTATTTTATTTTTTATTTTATTTTGTAATTTTTATTTATTTATGATAGTCACAGAGAGAGAAAGAGAGAGAGGCAGAGACATAGGCAGAGGGAGAAGCAGGCTCCATGCACCGGGAGCCCGATGTGGGATTCGATCCCGGGTCTCCAGGATCGCGCCCTGGGCCAAAGGCAGGTGCCAAAGCGCTGCGCCACCCAGGGATCCCTCAACTTTTATTTTAAAGTTCATTTTTAAGTTGGCTATTTGGGCCTTAGAACATATTTTCCCAAAGAGAAATATTTAAGTTTAAGGGATGCCTGGGTGGCTCAGCAGTTGAACGTCTGCCTTTGGCTCAGGGTGTGATTCCTGTCCCAGGATTGAGTCCCACGTTGGGCTCCCTGAGAGGAGCCTGCTTCTCCCTCTGCCTACATCTCTGCCTCTCTCTGTGTATCTCTCATGAATAAAGAAATAAAATCTTTTAAAAAAGGAGAAATGTTTAAGTTTCAGATAGCCCTTAAAACTCATGATGTAGCTAAATAATTGTGGGTTATTTTCATTTCTACAGCGGTGGGCAGCTATATTCTAGATTAAAAAGGTTTTTGTCAACTATCTGGACAGGAGGGTATCTTCTCTTTTGTGATAGATAAAGTGGCCATTTGCTTTAGGTTGAGAAGATACTTGGTAGGAATGGGGAAATCACTGGAGTGCAAAGGCCATTGGAGTGGGTTTTAAAATGTTTCTTGTACTTGAAAGAACAGTATCCTCTTGTGGCAGTTATGTTTAAGGGGTAGTATAAAGTATATGTTTATATCTTAGGAACAGACATAGATACTGGTCGTATAATAGGTGCTCAAATATTTTTGGAACATCGAATGAATATGAATTGAAAGTGATGTGGAGAAAAGGGAGGACAGTATTCTGTGAGGACAGGTTTTTTTAATGTTTATTTTTTTTTAAGATTTTTATTTATTTATTCGTGAGAGACAGAGAGGCAAAGAAAGAGAAAGAATCAGGCTTCCCGCGTGGAGTCTGATGTGGGACTCAATCCCAGAACCCCAGGATCACAACTTGAGCCAAAGGCAGATGCTCAATCATTGAGCCACCCAGGCGTCCCATTTTTTTTATGTTTATGAGTTTTCTAAGTGTTGTAGGTTGATAGTCCTGGAGTTTCCTTTAAATGGAAAAATTTTCCCAGTACCTCAACCTTTGCTTTTTTTTTTTCAACCTTTGCTTCTTAAATAATTTTTGTTTTGAGATAGTTATAGTTAAAGTTGCAAAACTAGTTCAGAGAGATCCCATGTACCCTTGAACTTTTACTTTGTAAATGTACTGCAATGTTTCACATTCTGAACGCTTCAAATGATAACCAAGAACATTTTGGTCATTCTAGGAAGGTTAAAACTTAACTTGGGGTTCTTAAAGACAGATTGGAGATATAATTATTGTTTTAATGTTTCTATTACATAAAACCATCATTCAGTGATTGAAACAGTAGAACAATTCATATTTGTTTATTTCAGTTTTTAATTTAGACATGCAAGAAATTTTTTCTCCTTTTTGCATGACTTATTTTGGTTTTGTTGGCATTGGGTTATAGTATTAACATTTAACTTAAAAACCAGGAATTATTATTAGATTCATTCATTAGGCATTTATTGAATATTTACAATGTACCTACAGACTCTGCTAGGTCCCTGTCCTCAAGGAGTGTTGATGGTCTGGGTAAGGATACAAGATGGGTTCAAAGTGTCTTAACTAGTAATGTGATCATTGTTTGACATCCCCTCTCCAAGGCATTTTGATATATAGTTTTCTTAGCTGTGTGTTTTCAGGCAATTATGGCAGAAGGAAAACAGCATGCTCTGTGTGTTGGAGTCATGAAGATGTCTGCAGAAGATATGTAAGTCTCATGTTAGGCCCCCTTAGCTTTTGAGATCTGGGTCACCGACGCAGAATTACAGGTGAAATTTGCTTTCATTCACACCACATCTTACAAATATTTAAGCACAGAAGCATCATTTCTGATTTTTCCTAGGACTTAGGAAGCCATTGAAAATATGTTTCAATGGCTTCCTAAGTCTCTGGGATTGCATTCTTTCTTAAGCATTCTGAAAAGAACCGTGTGCCAACACAGCTGTTTTATATGTATGTATGTGGTATTTTAGGAACTTTTTATTTAGTATGATTTAAATTGGGTGGGAGGAAAGATGCTTGCCTGTTTTTTTTTTATTTTTTAATTTTTTAAAAGATCTTATTTATTTATTGAGATAGTGAGAAAGAGCATGAGCGGGGGTGGGGCAGGCAGAGGGAGAGGGAGAAGCAGGCTACCCACTAAGCAGGGAGCCTGATGCGGTGTTAGATCCCAGGACCCTGAGATCATGACCTGAGCTGAAGGCAGACACTTAACCAAACAGCCACCCAGGCGCCCTATGTTTTAATTGTTAAAAGGTTTGTTTGTTTGTTTGTTTTTAGAGAGAGAGGAAGAGCAAGGGGAGGGGCAGAGGGAGAGGGAGAATCCTTGAGCAGACTTCCCACTGAGCATGGAGCCTGATGTGGGGCTCAATCCCAGGACCTTGAGATCATGACCTGAGTCAAAATCAAGAGTTGGCCACTTAACCATCTGAGCCACCCAGGTGCCCTATTAGTTTTTAAAACAGTGACATAGTTCAGTACCACACAGTGCTTATTTTCTATTATTACCTGGTGGTGTAGAATATTAAGGAAATCTTAAAGATATATTAACAAAATATAGTCAATATACTGAAAAATTTTGGAACTCATTTGATGACCAAATTACTCCTATTAATTTTGTTTCACTGCTAAATGTAACTCTTTAGTGTTCTCCTGGTATGGTGACATCATGACTTTGTTTCTATAGACTCACTAGTTAGATCACTAGAATCATTTTAAGACAGGAACTGCAGCAGAGTAATGTAGTTTAATGTAGTCAATAATGTTAATGTAATATAAATAAATTCCCTACATGTGGCTCAATAATTGCAAAATAGCAATGCACTTTGAATTATATTTACCATAAGTAAGCCTATAAAAATTCATAACAATATGTTTATATGCTTTTTTCCTTCTACAGTGAGAAAGTCAACAAAGGAATTGGCATTGAAAATATCCATTATTTAAATGATGGGCTGTGGCATATGAAGACATACAAATGAGCCTCGGAAGGAATGCACTTGGCTAAATATGGATATTGTGCTGTATCTGTGTTTGTGTCTGTGGGTGACAGCATGAAGACAATACCTCTGGTTATGCTGAATAAATTCAACAGATGCTAAAATTCTGTTAGCTTCAAAAATTATTTTAATTTTTCTTAAAGTCAAGTTAAAATTGGGTAGCAAACTTGGACATTAAGAGGTATCTGGTAAGTAATCAAACTCAGACAACTTGATGTCTTTTCTTAGGCTAATGATGTAAAATGAAGGGTAGGACTTGGTAAATGAACTTGATAGTATATGGCTGAGCCCCAGAGAGTCTGACTATTTTTGGGGCTGGAAGCTATCCTGGGAATTTTCTCCCATTATCCCTAGAAATGCCCCTTCTATTTGTGTGTGTTTTTTGTTTTGTTTGTTGTTTTTAATTTTTTTTTGCTTTTAAATTTTTCATTATGGAAAATTCCAAACATATCCGAAAGTATGTGGGGGATAGTATAATGGACCTTTTCTGGATCCATCACCCATCTTCCATTCATGGTAAATCTTACTTCATCTGTATCTCCTTTACTCCTTTTCACCTTATTCCCCAATTATTTTGAAGCAAGTCCCAGATATATAATTTTATCCATATTTTAATATGTATCTTTAAAATATAAGTGGTTTAAAAAAAAACTATAATCACAAAATATCATTATCACACCTAAACGATTTAACTTTCTTAATATGATCAAATATCTGGTTCAGATATGTGACAAGTGAACTTGATTGCCTCTTTTGTTTTTTTAACCATTGGTTTGCTTGAAATAGGTACCAGGCAAGGTCCATATATTGCATTTGGTGGTTATTTGTTTCTCTTAAGCTAGAAGTTCTTCCTTTGTCTTTTCCCCTTTAAATTAAAGATTGAAGCTATCTGGTTGTTTTGTCTTCGTGTTTTCTCCCACATCCTGGATTTTGTCGATTGTATCATAAAGTAATTTAACTTATTTTTATGCCTTCTGTACAACCCGTAAACATATAGGCTTGATGAGATTCATGTTGAATTTATTTAATGCCCTGTCCTGAAGCTGGGTAAACTCATACTACACAGATGCCCAGAACTGTATTCCCCAAAGAACGTGTATCTCCTATCATAAATGGCATATGAATGGCATGGACCTGTATCAGTAAGAACAGTAAGCTGTTTTGGAGATTAATGATAATTAAATGGGAATTTATATAGCGACAATAGGTATTTGTTCTTAATGACCTTACTGTTTTAGTGTCTCAGCCATTTAATTTGGTTGTTTACAAATATATGATATGTGATTTTATTTTTCAGATGGATACAGACATTTACAAGATTGTGGTGATCCGTATTACAGTTAGAAGTTGATGAGAAAGGTGATGGTGGATAGTAAAAAGAGAGAGACCATTTGGCTGGCTGTTGTAGCTGGTCCCCAAAGATATAGGTGAAGGTTGTAGATCTGGGGTCTGGCTCTCAGTCTGAGAAACTTTCCCACTAATGAAACTTTTAAGACTTGGAGAGGCCCACATTAGAATGTAAATGTGTTAATTTATAGTGCTAAGTCTGCTTAGGGTACACAATTAGTGAACAGGGAGTTCCTTGGTGAACATGGATAAGAGTAAAGGAAGGTTGAAATTTGAGGGAGTATTTCATCTGGGCTGGGGTAAGGCTTAGAGAATTTTTCCTACTTCATCATTAATTAGAATGCTTATGTCTGCCACAGTCTTTCTTTCCTAGATTGTGGAGGCACCCTGATATTTTACTCCCATATCCTTTTTTAAGTTCTATGTAGAATATTTTCCTTTGTCATGACAATTATGTTCTACAACTTAGTATATTGTTCTTTTTACTATTTATTCCTGATAGATAAAGTATAAATAGTCTCATCAGTAACCCATTTATAAATCATCTTTCAGGGTAGGTTTCTTCAACAGTCTCATTTTATGATGACTTACTGGTTTCAAATTCAGATGTTTCTCCATTTGAGGGATGAGGTACCCTATTTGAGGCCTGTAGCACCGTATATTCTTAAAAAGAGAATATCTGAGTCATCGATGTCAAAACCAAACTTTGAGCCTCTATTTTTGGTACTAGGTTAATGTTAGTTGACCAAGATTGCTTGTGGAGTGTTAGCAATGAGAAACAAAGCACACACATATTAGAGAAGTTAAAACCTTTAATTGCCTGGTTTCTGAAATAATTTATCCTTATGTCTCTAACCACTGTTAACAGTGGGTGTAGGGAACACTTTAAAAATATTTAACATCATCATCTGTGCTTGTTTTTCCTACTATGCTGAGGTACAGTGACTCTGTTGCCTTGGTGATGTGGACTAAATATGTATGTTTTCTCCTTCCCCTGGGTTTGAGGCCTCAGGTCATGGTGTTAATCAGGGGTATCACTCTACACTGGGAGCCTGGTCAGTTTCTAAACATTAGATCATGCAGGAAAGCCAATTCAAAGAGGTTAAACTAGCATATCAGCCTCTTGAGGTCTTAATGCTTAAAGGAAACCTAGTCTACCCATTCCAGAGAGTAGGAATACAGGGAGAGTCTGTTTTCTCTCAGGCAATGTGTCTTCAGTTCATTTTTAGTTTCAAAATTAATTTTATGTCAGGCTAGCCTACAATCTAGCCATTTCTGTGTATCTGACACATACTTACTTAGCCAAGGTCAGTTCAGCTCAATAAACATTTATTACATACCTGCTAGGCTCAAAGATAAACAATACACAAGTGGCCCTTATCCTTAAGGAGCTTTCAGGCTAGTGAGTAAATTTACATTTAAAAAAATCTGGGTTATGGTGACAGCCCAATGCCAATTTATAAAGCCACTGGGAAGTTGCTAATGCTTTTCCACAATTTCAGTCACCAACATTTGCAGATTACACATGAGCTAAATATAAAAAAATTCCTTAGATCGTATGCAATGTGAGAAGGTTAAAAACATCCAGATGTCTTGGAGTTGCAGTGATTCAGCATTCCAACTCAGATGGTTGTCCCATTGTGCTATAATATAAAGGCCTGATCAGCCCTCTTCTAGCAGACTATTATAGTGGTTTGGTGGTGTTCTTTTGGCAGCTGCATTTTTCCTTTTCTTTTTCTTTTTTTTTTAATGTTCTGGACCCAAAACAGGCAGCTGGATTTATCCCAGGGGTAGTCATGAACGTTTCCAGTTTGAGGGATTTGATAGTCCCCAAACAGAAGGTCATATGGCATTTGTCAAATAATGATTATATCCGGTCAAGTACCTCCTCATATACAAATCGGCTACTAAGGATACAATATTTCTAAGCATAGTACTTCAGAAGATATAAGAATGGCAAAAGACTCAATTTGCATAGGTATTTCCTTACAATAAGTATTTTGTTGTTGTTGTTCATGAGAATATTAATCATGTAGCAGTTATATGTTAATGGGAACATGAAATGAATGTATGCCCAAACAAAATGTGGTAAATATTTTAACTTTGTTTATCTAGGTTCCTTAATTTTGAGAACGTATCTCTCAAGGCTCTTCAGGAAACTCAAAATGTTCCAATTTCTAGGAGTATCCACTAGAACTGACTTATAATAAAAGGAAAAAATGAAAATGTATGCATCATATGTCAATATAACCATCACTTCTGAGGTCTCAAGCAATCAAACTTATTCAAGTTATAGTCTGTAAGAATTAGGCCATTAACATATATTTGGAAAGCCCTTCAGAACACTTATGTTTAGAATGTTATTACTTGTGTTACGGTAGTAAAAATTAGATTATATATAATTGTTCTTAATATCCTAGTCTCTCAGCAATAGTTCCTAAAGAAATCATGCCTGTCAACATGGAGACTGATGCATGTGAATGTATACTTTGTATTATGTTTTTATATTTTGTATTATACTTTATTATACTTTTTATAGCAGGTAAAAGAATGACTACATACAATGAACTATAACACTAATTTGTTTAATATTATATTAAAACTAATTAAGTACTTGTAAAGGACTACAATTCCATCAGAAGAGGAGTGAATGAATGTGACTGAGAACCAGTTTTTAATCTGTGTTGAGATTATTAGGCAATCAGGTTGGTTGGTGGATTGGTTGGTTTGCTTAAAAGGATGGCCTTTTGGAGGATATAATTTATGTATGGGAAAATAGACTGGAGATGATTCGCTGAAATTCTCCTAGTAATATCCTGTTCATCCAAACTACTTAGTACTATTAATATTTGCCTCTGGGAGTGAAAACCGAAAGGATATCAAATTTTATCCTTGAACACTTTGAGAAATAAAAGATCAATTAGTGAAATAATTTCTAATTGAAACTAATTGTTACAGAGAATGATATGCCTCACTATTGTTCAACTCTAATTAAATGGGTTATTTTACATATTTTAAAATTTCATTTTAAAGTAAAACATTATGGATTTCCACATGATATCTTTTTATTGCTTTTGTTCCATTCCTCAATTTTAAAGTACTTTAATTCCAGCCAATATGTGAATAGAGTGGACTTTTGGGGCATAGTCATTCACTGCCTTCAGGTTTATTTTAAGTGTTCCCAGAACTCTACCATAGGGGGAAATAACTCTAAATTTAAAAGATGCAAAGAGGAGTTTTCTTTCCTTCTAATTTTAATTTTATCACAGGGCATGATTATGAATGATAACTGAACTTTCATTTAATCTTCTGTGGCAAAATAAGTAATTTCTATTGATTTTCACAAGCATGTGAGCAAAAAACTGTTTTAATAAGTAGTAAATCATGTAAGCACTTGCTTGGAGGAAGTGCCATTTCTCCAAACATATGCCTTGAAAACAAATCAAATTCAGTTCCCTTTTTACCTCAGGGAAAGCCATAGTGGGGAGACTTTTGAGGTCGGCAGTCTGTTTTGATTCTTCCCACTTTCTATTTCAAAAGTGGACACTCTCTGTCTTTTTTTTTTACTCTCTGGTCTTTGTCACCAAATGCTGGGGTTGTCCTATGCTGGTGCATGATGAAACCCTGAGGCTTGGAAACTTGCAAACCAGTGAGATGATTTTGTGATGAAATTGCATGTTGGATTGATACTGCCCATGAATAATCTTAAATTTGAGATAACTTTTAAAAGGAGCCCTACACTTTCTTCTAGTTTTGCTTC